GGAGAGGAAGAGGGAAGAGTGACAAAAGCCAAAGGAAGCCAAAATTCAATGAATCCTTCAGTTGTGTGTCACTATAAGATGATTGAAAAAGACCAAACAAACAAACCAAAAACCACCATTGGACTGGAAGAGGTGCCGCTGCAGTGTGAATTGGGAAGCCGGGTAGGAGGTAAAAGGAGCTGGTGGAGCTCAGGCCGACTCGGTGAAAAGAAAGAAGCAGTAGGGCTCTTCAGCATGAGAAGGGGCCAGACTCCCAGAACACTCATGTTCTCTGTCTCTTGTTCTGCTTCCTGTCCAAAGCGGTCTTTGATGATAACTCCTTATCTTCCCACCCACTCACTCTCTCCAGATCCTGTCTCCAGGTTCAGATTCAGCCCCTTTCTATGAGTGCCCTTATCTCGCTCTCTTTTGCCTTCTCCTCTGAGCCTGAGCTAAGAAAACCTGAGGTCCCCCCAGTGCTGAACATGTGTGGAAGTCAGGATTAAGTTTAGGGGTCAAAAGGACACAGATGTGTTAGCTACTGAGGAAATGATGTTTTCCCATCGTCACCAGATATAAACAAATAGTTGTAGCGCTTTGAATTCAAAAGAACTATTAACTTCACAGAATTGAGGTGGGTGTTTGGCCTAGTCATTGAGAAGCTAACCTCTGAGGTAGGAGTGCCTGCGTTCTGTGTTGGGCTCAATCTTCTACTGGCAGACAGCACCTGGGAGCCAGCAGGTGATAGCTCAAGTGGTTGGGTCCCTGGGGTGCACAGGAGAGACCTGGATTGAGTTTCCAGCTCCCTTCTGCAGCCCCAAGCCCAGCCGCGGCCATTGCAGGCATTTGGGTAGGAAACCAGCAGATGGGAGCTGTCTCTGCCTCTCCAAACACACACACACACACACACACAAACACACACATAATTTCATCGAATTCTTCACCCAAACATGCTGCAAGCTTAAATTACTTTTATTTTTCTTATTTTGACTTCCTTTTGCCTCTGACATCTTATTTTTTTTAAACTGATTTTCTTGGCCTCTCTCTTTCTGTTGGGTATTTCCTAAAGGTCTTGCAATTCCCAGCTGACATTATAAAATTTTTTATTAGATGAGAAACTCTGCTGAGGCCTTCCCTTTGCAGCCCCCATTTCCAAATGTAATTTCCTTTTAAAGGACCAGTCTCACAAAAGATGTCATTGATCTCCTTTGTAAGCTACAGCTTTTGAAAAAAATTGCTTTTAAATATCCGCACTTTTCATGTATAGCAATTTGTGTATTTTCAGCTGGCTCAGCATAATTAAAAGTATCAAAAATCACAATAGAACTGGCTTTTTGCTCAGTGCCACTGCCCATTTTTGCAGTCATACAAGTCAACCTATGCCTGTCTCTGAAACATTTCCAAGTGGCTCAGTCCAAAACCATCCTCTGCCAAACACATGGTGGTGCCTTGGCCGCTGGAGAAACAGACAAATGCAAACTCAAGCCAATAGAAGGGCCTCTGTTCTCCCGCCCCACGCTCTGCCTGCCAGGCTGCCCAAGGAGCCTCGCAGCAGACACAGCCCAGGCAGGAAGTCCTCTGTCTGCACATCTTGAGGCCTTGCCATTGTTGCAGTTCTAGAAGCCCACACATGCATTTTTTTACCTATGTTTCTAAAATTCAAGTGATCTAAGGAAGCGAGGTAGACGGAGCTGTTAGTAATTTATCCCTCTAAGTTCCCGGTGTTTATTTCCTTTGATTTAGGGGTGTCAGCGTGCCTTTCCCAATAATTAACAAACCAAAAGGAACATCCAGGGCCAGCACCCTCCGGCTCCTATTTCTTGTCCAACAGCACCACCTCATGGTTATTCTGTGTCCCTAATGGCGACCAGAGATTGAAGTTCTGTGTTTTACCTTATAGCCACAACTCAAGTGGAAACCACCCCCCAAGTACCATTTAAATGTGATCATTTCCTAGTAAAGCTGTGTACATTCTCCTGACCCCAGCCTTCACTGCTGCAGGCTCACTCTGTGCTCCTTGGAACGCCTCCCACACCCCTTTCTGTACAGGCAGTGCCACAGGGCTGTGTGGGAACAAATCCTGCCTCATCTGGTTCACTACTCTAACGACAAGGTAGTTAATGATGATGATAAGTTACTTGTCTTCTTAACCCTTCCTAGAAGTCAGTATCAGTCATGGAAATATAGGTAATGAATGTCTCATCGTGTCTTAAAGTTTAATAGGCTAAAACACAGTTTCTCGTCTTTTCTTCACATGAGAATCTGTAGCTGCATTCATTCTAAAGTCCTGATTTAGAATCTTAGACACACACTGGTTCCTACCACCGGGTCTTTTCCCTCTCTGGCAGAGGGGCCCAGCCACGTACGTCCTCCTTGCCGCAGCCTTGCCGTTCCCTTTCCTGCTCCGTGAAAGCTCTGGTTCAGTTTTTGTTCTGGATCTGTGGAGGTTCCCACCGTGTTTCTAGGCCACCTCTTCACAAGCAGACCCTAGCTCTTTTGTTCCTCCTTGAATGCCAAATTAAAACTGAAGTTTAGAATAAAAAGTGCTTCTAAAATAGCTAACGTCATCAACCTTTCCTTCAAAACCTCCCAGATAGAGGTAAATATTTAGCTATAAGGATGTCCAGCATCACTTTATAACAGCATAAGACTAAAATCAAAACAAGTGTCCAGCCAGCAGGAAGATGAACGCCTCCACTTACAGCAATGGATAAATAAGTGAACATTCAAACAGTAGAACATTAAGCAACTATTAAGAATCCTGTTTTTAAACAGAAGTTAATAAGTCAACAGAGCCAAATATAAAAATTCTTATTCAATACGACCCTTTTATGAAGTATATGTGCAAAGACCAGAAAAATAGGCACACAATGTTCCTAGGGTAATGAGTCCTTTAAAATATTTTCTTGTTTTATTTATTTTCATCTTTTAAATTGTTTTATTTTTTATTTTTGTTAAGCTGTGTCTTGGCACTTGAGGATAAAACTGGCAAATAGGAAGCCCTCAGCACTGAAGACATAATGTCAAGAGACCTGGAGCTCTTTACAGACCTCTGGCTCTGTAAATAACAGACTATTTTCCTACCCATTCCTTTATGGTGATGATTTTTAGTAAAGATTTTTAATAAAATAATAAATGTATTTAATTATGCTCCTGAGTTAAATCAGCATTTGCTTCTGAATTAAAACCCATCAGGCCGGCGCCACGGCTCAGTAGGCTAATCCTCCGCCTTGCGGCACTGGCACACCAGGTTCTAGTCCTGGTCAGGGCACCGGATTCTGTCCTGGTTGCCCCTCTTCCAGGCCAGCTCTCTGCTATGGCCAAGCAGTGCAGTGGAGGATGGCCCAAGTCCTTGGGCCCTGCACCCCATGGGAGACCAGGAGAAGCACCTGGCTCCTGCCATCAGATCAGCGCGGTGCACCGGCCATGGCGGCCATTGGAGGATGAACCAACGGCAAAGGAAGACCTTTCTCTCTGTCTCTCTCTCTCACTGTCCACTCTGCCTGTCAAAAAAAAAAAAAAAGTAAATAAAAAAATTTTTAAAAAAACCATCAGTACACAACCTTTTTTTAAAGATTTATTTATTTATCTATTAGAAAGAGAATAAGTGAGTTATCTCCCATCTGCTGGGTCACTCCCCAAATGCCCACAACCGCTAGGTCTGGTCAGGCTGAAGCCAGGAGCCAGGACTTGGCATCCACTGCCTTCCAGGAAGCAGAGGAGCCAGGACCCACATCAGCACTCTAAGATGAAATGAAGGCATCCAAAGCAGTGACTTAACCTCCTGTGCCGTAACGCCCACTGCTAATTTTGAAATTTTAATTTCTTTATTTGTTTTTAAGATTTATTTATTTACTTAAAAGAGTTACAGCAGGAGAGAGGAGAGACACAGGGAAAGAGAAGACAGATCTTCTGTCTGTTCACTCCCAAAATGACCACAACGACCAGGACTGGGTTGGGCCAAAGTCAGGAATCAGGAGCTTTATCCAGGTCTCCCACATGGGTGCAGGGGTCCAAGCAGTTGAGCCATCCTCTGCTGCTTTCCCAGGTGCATTAGCCAAGGGCTGGATCAGAATTGGAGCAGCCAGGACTCAAACTGGCGCCCATATGGATGCTGTCACTGCAGATGGTAGCTTAACCTGCTGTCCCACAGTGCCAGCCCCTAATTTAATACTCTAGAATGTAATATTCAGTTCTGCTTTTCTTGTCTCAGAGAGCCCTCCACACTCAAAATAAGAAACTCCATTATGTAAAGCCTGTAATTGAATTATATTTGTAACAAAAATGCATGTGTGTTTGTCAAGCTTAGTTCATAATAGATTTCTTAGGCAAATTCAACCAAGAGTCATTGAGCTTCCAAAAAAGGAACATATTCAGCCATAAAAAAGAATGAGATCCTGCCTTTTGTAACAAAATGAATGCAACTGGAGACCATTATGCTTAGTGAAAAAGACAGTCACAAAAAGACAAATATCATGTTTTCCCTGATTTGTTGACTTATATAGAGAGTGCCAAAAAAATGTAATGCGTGAGTAAAATTGACATTTTGAGATTTGATTGTTGTTTATAGCCCTTGTCTACACTCCTGAGGAACAGTGGTTTTTCTACTTGCTTATTGAACTCTTTACTTACTGGAGGGTTAAGCTTGTAATTGTATATTAAATTGAAAATATGTCATTGCAAAAATTAAGAGTAAAGTAGGAAAAGAAGGGAGGGTGAGAGGCACCACTATGTTCTTAAAACTGTATATTTAAAATTTTTCCCTTTATGTAATTTTTTTTAAATTAAAACAAACAACAAAAAAGGAAAATCCCCTCATGTTTATAACGAAAAGCTCTCTGCTAGCTTGCCCAGCTGGGCTTGAAGTTGATCAAAAGGTTACAGTGTCTCAGCAGCCCCTCATTTAGGACCACAGAAGGCAGATCTGGTCTGGGAGGGGGAGTTCACTGTCTGCACATTCCGCTTCTCAAGGCAGGGCCTTGCACCTGCCACATGAAGTCCCTGGTGACCACAGTGTTAGTAGCGGAGAGGAAGAAATGGGAAGTAGGAAGAAAAGCTATGGAGAAAAAGACGAGGATGGGGATCGGTACCAGCCAATTCCATTACAGGGACTGAGCACTTCTCCTGTGCCGCACTGGGGGCTCAGCCTTCTTCACACATTACCACACGTCACTTTCACAGGGACCTTGGGAGGCAGTGTGCTCTCATCATCTGCTTACACACGGGGAAACCATTGCCTAACACCCTGTTTGTGCTAGGGAGCTGGGTATATCTCTTTAGCATTGTTCTCAAAAATTATCATCCAAAATACAAAGAACTCTAAATTCTAAAACCCAGAGTGCATGAGTCAGTAAAAAACAGTAACTTGGCAGTGAATGACAACAGCTAGGAATTTGGAGGCCAGGGTCTTTTTATCGGGGAAGACAAGTGGTTGGAAGATCTCTGTAATGGGGCATGGAATAAAATAAGCCTTATTTATGTTCGCTTAACAATTCATTCAGTATATATTGGATTATTCCCTCCAGTGAGCCAGGGACTATGCAAATGTGAAGAGCAAGGCACCTGCCCTACTGGAGCTCTGGGTCTCCAGGGGGAAAGTTGTTCAGATGAAGGAGCAGCTGGGGGTATGGAGCAGGAGTGTCAGGAACAGCTGCCCAGAAAAACTAAGTCTAGAATTGCCTTTCAAGACAAGCAAGATTTTTTTTTTAAACAAGTGGTGATAGTAAAGGCAAAAAGTAGGAGCATGTCATTGACTCAAGAACAGCAAGTCATTCCAGGTTGCTTGCCGCTAGGGTGTATTGGGAAATCAGGGGAAAAGCAACGATACTAGGCAGTCAGGAAGAGGCAAATCGTGACAGTCCTAACATCCTCCCTCAAAGTGTGTGGGACTGGTTGTGAAGGAGGTGAAGAGCCAGTGACAGATTTAGCAATGAAGTTCATGATCTTGTAACAGTTTAGAAATGTTACAAATGTTGCACTGAAATTGCATTTTGATGAGTTTATGAAACAGTAAAGGGAATGCTTTGACATCGTTTTAAGTAAAATGACAGGGTAAAATTATGTACATACATAACATTACAAATATGAGGTTTCAATATTGTCAAAAAACCCAGACAAAAAGATTAAACAAAAGAAATATGCCAAAATGTATTGATGACATTGAACTAAATTCATAAACACACATTGCATATATTTAAATTTCTTTTTGAAAGATTTAAAGCTTCATTGCTCTCTTTGTAAAAAGCCACAAGGTTGAGTATTGTAGCTTTTATTCTGTCGTCAATATTTGTTAAAATTTAATGTTGCTACACTAGACTAATTTGTCCTAAGAAGTAGTTTTATTCACTACTCCAAGTCCCGAGTGAATTTACTGTTGTGTTTGAAACTTGGAAGTTTTTCTTCAAAGAATACAAGAATTGGACTGGAATCGTAATTTTGGGGGAGAGGCAATATGGTTCATAGAACTGGAAGGCCATGCATAGGCTAACATAGGTTTCTTTCCAGATGTCTGTTCTCTTACAAATTGCCTAATATTCTTGGAAAAGGGGGATCATCACGATGGCCCACAGATGAGTGGAGGTTGTAGTGGGCGTGGTAATGGCACCAGGCTGGAGGGCCACGTTTCAGCTGGATTAACTGTAGTTAATCATGCATCACGAGTACTCAGTCTGGAAAACGGCTAAGCACACTCATTCTCACACATCCCCTGTGCTCACCGTCCCATCTTCCTAAGTGTGGGTTAAACTGTTTCCACGGGGATGCTTCCTAGGACTGCACAATTCAGGTTTCTTTGCGTCTTTTCTGTGCATTTATGAGACGTGGAAGATCTTCCAAGGAACCTTCCACCATCTTTCCATTTCCTTGCCTGGAAAGTGGTGACTCATGGAGGGTTTGGAAATTGTAGATCATGGGTAAGTCATTAAAATTATTTATGGATATAAGATTTGGAAATTCCAATGGCCTGTCCTTGATGGCAGGGCTGTTTATTCCTTGCCCAGATGGGCATCCCACACCACAACAGGTCCTGACAAATTTGTAGGGGAATCACCACTTACACAAGGCATCATGAAGAGGGAAGGAAAAAAGTTTCCTTGTGTGGCTCATTCTTGTGCCCTCAACTCACCAGTAGAGTCTCATCTCACCCAGAGTGAAAGCAAACCCCATACATTGTAGCCTTGTGCTCCGTTGCCTTGCTGACTTCCCTGTATATGGTTCTTGTTTTCTTCTTAGCGTGCCTCCAGCCTCCCAGAGCATCTTGTTATTTCTTGTACATGTCAGGACTTTGCACCTGCCACGTCTGCTTTCTGCTACTCCCTGCCTCAGAGCTCCACTTGCCTAGCTCCCTCTCCTCCTTTAAGGTGCTGGTTAAATGTTGACTTAGGCATGAATTCTTCCTGCCCATCTTGTCTCAACTGGTAACTGAGCTCACCAATATTTCCCTGTGCCTCCTTCCCCTTCTCATGCCTTCCTTTGCTTACAGAATTTAAAACCATCATGACATGTTAAATATCTTACACATTTGTATATTTTCTGCCTTCACCAAAGGAATGTAGACTCTGTGAGAGAAGGAATTTCTATGGGTTTTGCTCCCTCATCTAGAGCTGTATAATCTTATAGTGTATGCTCCGTAAATGTTTATGACAAAATGCATTAGTGTATCAACTTCAGTTAGGAAAGCCATCTTAAAGGACAGTATTTGTTAAGACCACAGTAATCTGGGATCAATTGTAAAAGTACTGGATTTATTGATAGTAAAATTTTATTATCATATCTTAAAAAATATTAGTCTATTTCTCTCAATAGATTGGGGTAATTCATAGGAAGGAAGACAGGTCCATGACGCTGGAAACCTACAGAAAATACTTCAGTGTGGCAAAGGCAGAACCAGAAACACCAGCTCCAAGAGAAGTAAAAGTTTCTGTTAGAAAAAAAAAAAAAACAGAAAATATCTGGTGCAGGACTTCATTATTCAGGGCTTCAGGAAGTGAAGTAGATCAGGTGGTGTTTTCCCTTTCAGCTAGAGAACTGTGGGCCAGTGACCATAAATACCACTCTTCTGCTACCATGTAGAA